GGACACCTTTGAAACACTAATATAGCAGAGGTCAGTTACAGGGCAAAAAAATGTGTTAGTCAATATAAGAGATGATCAGAATCAGGGTGATCATCATACATGACTAGGTAAGCAACAAAAAGACATCTAGAGCTGAAAAGCAGGGAAGCTAATTAATGGATTATAAAGACTTCAACTAGAGAGGAAAGGGGAAGATCAACTAAAAGAATGGCATTTTGACATATCTGTTGAGGTCCCTGATACCCTGAGGTATATATGTGCATATATAAAAGCTCCTCCAGTAATGAGAATGGGACAAAATACAAGGTGTTTGGTTTTTTGGTTTGTTTGTTTTTTGTTTCGGTTTGTTTTTTTTGAGATTTTAATGCAACAGGAGGATGATATATTTGGACTTGGGTTGCCAGAGGTTTCTTCTATAAGAAATGTATTTCTTCTATGTATTTGCTCCAATATACCCGGGGCAATCATGCCATTGGGAGCAACAATGGACACAATAGCTTGGGAGCAGCGGGTTTGACAGACCATTCTGCAGATGACATTCACCACTTAGAATCATAGAATCGTCAAGGTTGGAAAAGACCCTTAAGATCATCAAGTTCAACTCTTAACCCAACACTGCCAAGTCCATCTATACCATGTCCTCGAGCACCACATCTATCCGTTCTTTAAATCCCTCCAGGGATGGAGACTCAACCACTTCCCTGGGCAGCCTGTTCCAATGCTTGACCACCCTTTTGGTGAAGAAGTTTTTCCTAATATCCAACCTAAACCTCCCCTGGCGCAGCTCGAGGCTGTTTCCTCTCGTCCTATCACTCGTTACTAGGGAGAAGAGACCAAATCCCACCTTGCTACAACCTCCTTTCAGGTAGTTGTAGAGAGCTTCTCTGCTCCATAAGGCTCAAAACCAGTGTTTCAAGGCTCAGTAATGGTTCATGGCATACTGACTAAAGTATTTTCCTACAGGGTTGCTCAGGGTCATGGGACCATTGCACATTTAGGAAAAGCTGCATTTGTAAGTGTGAAGCAATCTCTGAAGTCACTGGATAAGCAGAACATGTATTAATAAGATGCGTATGACACTCGTACTTATTCTGTCACTTCCTTTCTGTTTTAGAAATGAGTTAGATATAGCTTTTAAGGATTATAAAGTTCACACACAGATGTGAATTGCTTTCTTATTAAACTGGAACTGCATCAGAGCCAAGAAATATATGTTTGCATTTAGATCCAAATCCGAAAGCACAAGAGCTTGTGTCCAGTGACCCAAGAGCGATCACAGTTGCAAGACTCAGTCTGAAAGCATAATGTTCAGAAGTGCAGTTAGAGGAACAGAAAACTTAAGCTTCTGGGAAACTTAGACATCTTTCTGAGGTTACATTTTCCATATTATCCTCACAACAAGGGCTCCATCCCTATTGGAGTCCTATAATAGAGAAACAGAAACAACAGATTACATGTTTAGAATCTCCTGGCAATTTTAATACCAAATGTGCTATGATTGTTGATAACCTGCTTTGGAAGCAGAGTATTGAACAGGATTTTTTGCTTCCTCAAGAGATTAACTTGCATGAAGGCTAGTGCTGCTGTGTTGAGCTGTTTCTGGTAGCTGTGAACTTGGCATTAAGCCATGCAAGTAGAATGCCATGGCACTCTCAGCTATGTCCTCAAGGAGTTACCTACAAACCCACTATTCCTAGTTCAGCTTGGTGTGTCTGAATTAGCAGGAGAATTGTTTCCAGTAGTCAGTCATCTCAAGTCAGTTTTCTGTTTCCTGTATTGGAGAAAGACCAAGAAGCTATTTTCATATACATTATACATAAGAATTGTTTAAGTAGGAGCATTCACACAGAATTCCTAAATTTTTAGTAGACTGACAGTGTGCATCTCGGGTCATTGCAAATTTGCATTGTGAAGATTCTAAAGAGACTCAGCACCAATGAAAAATATAGCAAACTATGTTAATCTAAATGAGATTATTTCTGTTATTTCTGTTTTAGGAGTCAGATCTATTATTGAATCCTTGGCTTGCTTGCTCAACACCCATGCACATAAGCAAGAGGTTTTAGGCAAGTGAAGAGGCCCAGTGATGAAACAGCATACAACTGTCACAGGGTTTAGGCACTGACTTTTCCACTTCAGCCCGCTTAGACAAAGAAACAAACTCTGTCAGATGTCTAGTGAGGGAAACCTATTTACTCCACTCTTCTACAGATCGGTAAACTTCATTTAAATGGCTAAATCAAGCCCAAGAATAGCAGCAAATACATCAGAGGATTAGTTGTTTTTTTCTTGAAAGGACCCCGCTGCTTTCTATCCCTTGGTGAACCGTGGTAATTCTCATTTGAATGACAGTGGAACATCCAAGGGCTACATTTTGCAGAAAAAGTAACTGCTTTTAGCTTTTAAGTTCTAGTTGTGTTCCAGGTGAAGCAGCATAGTCTGCATGCCTGCATTCAGTTTTACAATGGATCTGCTTTCCCACATCAGACAATTTGTTCTTCCCTTTCACATCAGCTTGTCTCTCTCATTGCTCAAGTATTGCTTCACACAAGAGCCGGGCACATCGGACTACGTAAGCCCAAAGAACACCACCGATCCAATAAGAAAGGAAAAAGTCCTGCAAGGATCAGGCATTATGCCTCCAAGTCAAATATGATTACTTTTGAGGCTCAAGACAGAGTAACAGGCTTTTCTCTCACGAAAGAGAATAAAAACCATTTAGATTTCCATAAGTGCTTTACAGAATGTCAGCTGGTGTATTGCAAGCATAGTTTTCTTTATTTTCAGTACTCCAGAAATAGCAACCTATTCTTATTACCATGGTTCAACACTCCCCCTGGAGAGAATGAATACGCATTTAGCTTTAAGCATGGAAACATTGACCAGTGAAACCCAGAACCTTATGCTTACTTCAAGTCTGTGAAACTATTCATGTAAGTTTTCAAGATCAAGTCCAAAGCATGCAGTTAAAAATGGGTTACACCCCTTGCTTACCTTTTAAGCTATTCAGTACAGACAATGACTTAAGCTGGGCAATGGCAGCTGCTCTTTATAACCAGCTTAACTTTCTGAATGCGCTAATTAACGCTGTGTGCTTGACCCCCCAACGTCTACAACTGAATGAGCACATCCAGAGCTCTCCAGAGTTGTTAGGAGTCTGAATCTGGTTGGACCAGCTCGTCCTTGCATATACACCTCTCTGCTTATAGAGCCGCCGCCTTATTCTTGCAAGCAACCTCCACATTTTTTCAACATCATCACAGTATTTACTTGTATTCTTTAAAGTTTTTTACTTTTTTTACTCCTTTGGATGCTTTTTCACAGTCCCTGACCTCTATGAAGTGGAAGATTCCTAAGACAGGGGTGTTGTTTCCTGGTAGATAATTTTACACTTATTTTTAGCACATTATATGGTTATGAGAGTTTGGAGATTAATTCATTCTGAGCCATTACTTTTCAGTTTCCAAGAGTGAAATCCAAAGGATTGTCACGTAATGGATGCCCACAAATTAACTGCCTGAAAGAAACCTTCCACTCCAACACGCTGTGCGCTTCCCTGCTTTCTGAAAACTTCCCAATCATTAGGTAACTGTCAAGGGCGCAGTACTATTTGAAGAGTTTCATTTTATGTAGCGGTATTTAATCTCCCTGTTAGGGCTGCATGGACTATAAGAGAATCAGCACACAAACTTCATTGTCCTCCACTTCAACCCGACTGCCCCAGCTGTGCCAGCAGAAATGCTCAGTGCCTCTCCTGTGAAGGCAGAGCTGTCTCTGGCTGGCACTGCCACCCTCCTCCCACCCTGCCTGTTTATTGCTGCAGCATCTGTAGGCCTTTAGGCTGAAGAGTTAAGTAACTTCACAGCCACTTGATCCACTATTAAATGAGAACAGATCTGAATGGATCAAACATACTCTCTTTGGAAAAACAAGGAACCCCTCTTCCTCAGTTATACAAGCTTCCTCTATAAAAGGGGGAAACTAGTTAAAATATTTCTTGTGACAATTGCTTTACTGCTTTTTCCTGCAGTCCAACTAGCTTGACACATTTTACCTTAGGGATATTTACAAATAGTCTGTTTCTATTTTCTTACTGCATAATCAAAATATGCAATTTTAACAGCTACGCAGGGCCAAATGGCAATACGCCTTTGGAGCGGTGGTGAGGGAATTTTGCCACGGACTTACTGCGAGTTAAGAAAGAGCGTGATAGATTATCTATGTTTCTAGATTTCTGCTAACTTCCTGGTCCCTTCATTCCCCGTAGTGTAGTGCCTCTGTACTTTTCTCTTCCCTGAACGAGCTACTGCTGCCTGACAGAAGTTATACCTGCAGGGTGCTTCAACTCCCCCAGTAACAGGCAGAAATCTACTCTTAGTCAAAATTCAGAGGAAAGGAAATGTGGAAATATAAAGTTCCTGGACAGCCATGATCTGGGGCATATCCAGCGATTCAGTGAGCAGCACGGTCACTGTTTCCTCCTTGACCACATGCCATCAGGAAGATTTCACAGTGTATTGTAAAAATGACTGTGCAAACGATTTGGAGGAGACTTGAATATGAACCTTTATTCTGGTCTTAAGAGGGAAAAAGCCAAGGATTTTCCAAATCCATTAAAATGCATCTGAAATTGGAAAAAGATACATTGTTTGAAACTCACCCATGTAGATGTCAAAAAGGTAATCCTCCAGAGGGAATGCCTGCCTTCGGAAGACACTGTGATTAACAGCAGACGTATCTACTTGGGCCCCTCATTAATTCTTTCTTCTGCCACAAGATTATTGTCACAGTCAGCTTGAAAATTAGACTAGTGGAACCAGAGTTTACATAGAATTTTTTGGGGAGAAAAAGCAGAAACATTACATGTCACCTTCCTTCCCGCTTCCCTGCTCCCCTCACGTATTTGCAACAATCTCAAAATCTTTCCGTGTTTCAACTGAGATCCACTGATTTCCCAGTAATATAAGCCTCCATCTTCCTTTCCATTGGGCTTGGGTGCCTCACTTAGTGGGAGCATATGCAGACACAACTTTTGCCATGAAGAGGATGCGGTAAGATTCCTTAATGTCACCTTTTAAGGTCAGGAGGGCTGTCACAAGCAGAGGGTCATCGGCCTACAAAAAAATCCACACAAACCCAACCTATTCTTTTGTACATGGAACAGATTAGTTGATCAAGTTCTCAACTATATGTTTTACATCTCGGTTGTAAGGTGTACCAGTTCTAGCTACAGATTAGCTCTCTTCCCACTGTGTTGGCTCTTTTCTATTTTCACACAATGCTCATACTGCAGTAAGTAAAGTAGCAATGACTAAGCACTCTACCTCCTGAGTGCTATGGATATCGTCACCACATTACAACCATGACAACTGGGCACAACAGCAACAGAGCACGCTGCAGTGAGGGCTGGGAAAGAAAGGGATCCTGTTAGCCATCAGCTAGTGTTAAATCTTGTGTAACAACCAGCGCTCACCAAGAGGCACAATGTCAACCTGAGACATCATGCCAGGAACCCTGCTGCCTTCTTTCTGCACATGATAGCAGCAATCTTTTAATTTTGGAACAAGCTACTTATTCTGCCATCCCACACACAGCTCACAACAAAAAGCAGGGGAGTAAATTCTTTCAGTCTCCAAGAATGCCCAAGATGATGAATCAGGAAGGGCAATCGCAGCCCTGTAGAGATGTCTGGACCTCATACCTAGACTCTGCCATGCAAAAAGGCAGAAGCAGCCAGGGAAACAGGGTTCATAAAGCAGTTCATAAAGTGGAAAATCAAAAAGGCCCCACTGACTTCCAGGAATATACCAAAGGAAAGGCAGCCCACAGCCAAAAGAAACGTGAATGCTGTAGCAGAATGATCCATGTAAACTTAGCGCTGTGTCAGCAGGACTGCAGGTTTTCTTGCACAGGGGGCATTAAAAAGCTCACTTCAGTGTGATCAGAGCTGTGTCTTTTCATTAACAGCAGCATCATTTTGGCCTTTTTGTGACCTGTAAGAAGTTATTCTAAGTTCTATAAGATGTGAGTGACTAATGCTTGTTCTTTTCATCACACGGATGAACGGAAGTCTGTGGTGAGGTAGCAAGCCTCCAAATCACACATATCGTTGCTGGCTTTTATTCTCCATCAGCGTTTATACCAGCCTATACTCCCCTTTGGTAACTACATGTGTTCTGTCATCCTGAGGTATCAGAGCAGCCTGTACTGCTGACATCGTCAAGGTCAGCTTTCGCAGTGCTCCCACAAGTTGGTGGGAACAGCTGCCCCCCGCTTCCAGCTCAAGCGGCAGGATGCTGTGGGAGCTGTGACTTACAGGGACGTCGGCAGGTGGCACCCACGAAACACCGATACATTTTACTTGACCAGGCTCAACCGTTCCCTTCTCAGCTCCAACAGTGAATCCCTTCTGCTGCAGGAGTGGCAGGCTATCAAAACTGAACTCCATGTTCTACGAGAGACACACACAACACGCCCTCATTACAGCCAGTTCTGCTCCTTCACGCACAATGCCTGGTTATTAAAGGCTGCGTTGCCCAGATGCTATAGGCGGACCTATTGCTTGCCAAATTGCTTCTGCCCTTTGAAACTGCAAGTATCCATCTTGTTCATTGTGTCAAGTTGTCACAAAATACTATACTAAAATAACAGGATCAGACCTGTCATTCAGTTCTGTGCTCAGAATTCTGTATTTCAGAATTAGGGAAGCAAACTGCTAAGTTAATTTTGTTGCTGACTTAATAGGATAATGCTAATTCCTCATACTAGCCCCTGAAAAATAATCTTTTCTTTTCAAACAGTGATGCTTTTATAATGTAAAGTTTACCAGAAACCCTGAAAGCTGTATTTTTTAATTTATGGACTGAATTTTTGACAGAAAGAACTAGTAGCCGTTTGTACACTGTCAGTATTCCTTATGGCATCTGACATAAAACTGCACTTTTTATTTTCTTCACCTTCTTCGATGCAAACTGAGCAGTCCGTATAGCTCCGACTTTCAGTTCTGTCATTGCTGGCACTGGAGAACTCTCTCCCTCGATGTACTCCAGAATGAGGAGAATGGACTTCACTGGTTCTTGAGGCTCTAAGCAAATATGAATCAAGTAAAGTTTGAGACAGTCAAAACTGAGCGATCACCAGTTTGGAACAAGCCTAAATTACACCAGGATGGTTCCAAACAAAGTGATGTTGTGACAAATTCATGAGTTGGCAGAGATAAGGAGATCCTTCTTACAGAGTTAGCGAAGAATTAAGCAAAAGGAGGTTTTGCATAATTTGCAATTGCAAACTATCATTGTTAATTGCTGATCAAGTTTCAGGCTCGTTTTCTAGCCCCATGGCACATACATCGTGTTTGCTATATTCCTACTTGTGTATGTTATGTGCTTGCATTTATTTATAGCTCAGGAGCTAGGAGTTGCTTATATCCTGTCTCTGAACACAGATCCTGTCCAAAGACATTAAGGCAGGATAAATTCAGCCCCTGAAAGCGTGTCTGTTTCATAACAGTATAGTCAGGAGAGTCCAGGATATGTTATTAGATATAAAATAATTTTATGAACATTTAATACAAGTCAGAGAAGTGGCAGAAAACAAACCCATCTTAATGCTTTGCAGTAGTATTAAATTATAATCAGTTTTTGCAAGGTAAGTTGCAAAGATAGAAGATCATCATTAAGATATAACTGCATTAAAATGAAGCGAAAACCTTTCCTTAAGAGAAAGTTTCCTGCATCTGTTTTGTGTTACGAATACAGGCTATACTATAATGCTTATTTGTTCTGATTCTGGAAAAGTTATCTTTAATTTACTTTTTCTTAAAGGATGAGGAACATGCCCATGTCTTACCTGTTTTGTAAAAAAGTGTCAGTGGTAGCACATTACCTGCTTGCAGCGCTTGCTGCGATGACACAGGCAACGGGACAGCCAAGGACTCGATCGGCACATCTAGCGGAACTCCCCCTTCCACAAACATTGGATGATCTCTCGCTGCACCCTTTAGGTGGATCACGCGGGCTACTTTCTATATGAGACAAGAATGCTTCAAATGCAGGTTACAGCTGAAGTACCGGTGGAACTGGAACACGACACACCAGCATCGGTTGCACAGGAATGACTACATCCGTTGCCTGTATCAAGGCCAAGAGGCCCTAATGCAAGAATCCTGCATCTTCCCCTTGTCTTGTCCGCTCAGGCACTTCTGTTTTCTACAACCTTTCATTCTTGGGCAATGCGCCTCAGGAGGGGGCTGGACAAACTATTTATACTAAAGCCACTAAAAGAGGCAAAACTTATCTGCCGCCAAACTTGGCTAAAGTTTGTGGACTAGGACCAGTCCCATTCAGCTTATTCCGATTTGCATTCTTAACCGCAATTCCAAAGATAATCTGGAGATACACAACGTGCAAGGAGAGAAGCAGTACTTATTCGCTCACTCCCAGTTTCTGCTCTGCGTTTGCAGTGCCTGCTGATGGTCATTAGTCGGCACTCCTCATTAACTTTTGGTCAGTCTCTTTTGGAACACGGCATAAAGCCACCTGCTACGCTGCCAGCCTGTGCATCCTGACTTGGGCTCCAGCTAAGCTCAACTGCTGCTCTGCAGATGGAACCCTCCTCCCTCATGCTGAGCGACCGCAGCAGCGGCTTGCTGGTACTCAGGGCACCCGCCACTTCGCGCCATGCAGGTACGGCTCCGCTCGCCCCTGCCATTAAATCCTTCTTGCGGAGAACTCACTTGGAGCTGTGCTCAGCAGCGTGGCAGCGACCTAGCCCCCATCGCCTCTCATTTACACAGCACAGACAGCTGGGCAGGAGACGGGACTGAATCCCAAGTCACTGTTGCTATGAATCAATAACTGAATAGTTAAAACCTGAAAAAAAAAAAAAAATCAGCGGGCCCCAAACCTGCCATCTCCTACCTCCATCAGTTAATCTAATAAAGATACATTTCTGCCTACAAGTGCTGTCCACTAGATATAATTATTTGAAACTCTTACTAAGACCCATGAGGATAAAAATCACCGTAGGTCATATTTAGACTTTGATTTCATAATCCAGGTGTCTTGACTGTCTCACCTTGCCAAAGAGCACAACCTTGAGACGGTCAGAGTAGTACAGACTTTCATGATCAGGACTGAAAGTAACAATAAAATCCTGACTCTTCCCAGCAACAATTTCTCCTTCTGTTGGAAAGATGCTGAACACACTCAAGCCATTATAGTTCTGTGTTCCTGGTAAATAAAAATGAGGATACGAATAAGAAAGGAGGACAGCTCTGTTTTACTTCTTCATATATTTTAAACCCATTTAATTTTTGTTGGAACAGCAAATAAGTAAGACCCGATACATGGTTTTGCAGCAAAACAGGGTGTTAGAAATACCAGGTAAATCTGTCTATCAGTTTAATGCATTCAGCCCTAGAGGAACTGAAAAAGCATGACCAAACTCTTCCTATATTCTAACGTGGTTTTACAGAGACAGACATCCCTAAATATAATCTTTAATATGCCATTACTGTGTGGGTTTATTTAGAGTCAAACACTAGTATCTCCTTACTTGTGGATATTTGCTCAGGCTGCATAAGTTTACAGCTACCCATATTGAAAGAATTCGTACAGCTCCTACTGGGTAAATAAAATTGTCTTCAATTTCAGTGATGTGATGCCCCAGGTTTTGACAGTTGTGTAGATCTAACAGGACAAAGTAACGCTGCTTCATGAGTCTTTAACAAAAGAAAAAGAGGAAAGGTAAAAACAAGCTTACCAACAAACTCTGTTCTTTGCAAAGGGGACGTAAGAAAGGATGGAAGTCTCTGCCGATCTTTGTCCCTTGTTGGTGAAAGCGAATCTAGTTGTATGGAGTATCGCAGGGTCAGTGCCGAAGTGTTCTGTATCTGATGACATAATTCACACAACAGCATTTTCACTAAGAAAAGTGATTCTCAAACCTGTAGGATCCATAGTTTGTGAACTGGCTGAATTTATTCTGCTGTATTACTGCACTACTGTGTACTCAGATGCCATCGCAAGCACGCGTTATTGCTACCCATAACGTGTCACATCAACCCCCGCCCCCAACAACAGGGACTGGGCTGTTTTGAGTCTTGCAGCAAGTGATGTATTTTCATTATTGACATACTTAGACAAAATCTGAGAGGAGAAAAATTATGCCTGGATCTTGGCCTGTTTCTGAGTCTGTGGGAATTCACAGTACATGAGCGAATCAGTTAAGCTTCCCTAGACCGCACCACGGCAGACCCTCACGTGCTCTTTGTAGGACCAGTTTTGCATTTCACCCACGTGCCTCTGTCACTGCTTTGTGTGGATGCAGAGCAGCCTCAATTGTGATAGCAGCGATGGACAGAAGAAAGAAAGAGGGCAAATATTTCTAACACTGGTAAAAGCAAAGCCATTTCAGACGTCGCATCCCTCTGTACTGGCTAGATCCATGGAGGTCACGCAGACCATTTCTCTTTTTCTTTTACAGAAGGTACTGGATCTCTAGTCTTTTGTATAGGCTGCAGGCAGGATGAGATCCTCTCTGCACAGCTTTGTTACCTTTGGCCTGAAACTCTCAGCACCAAATCACGCTGCCAGACGTGCTTTTAAAGCTATGTTTGTTCTTTTGCCTATAGTTTGCCACTCAGCCTTACGTTCTGCCAGACTAGAAACCACAGAACTCTTCCTCCTCCTTAGAAAAATTGCTGATGTGCTTTCCAGTTCAGCATAGAGGGATTTACCTTGAACGTGGAAGTCACCTTCTCTCTGGCTATGACATATCCCATATCGAGTACTTCTTCCACAGAGCAAACAATTGATGGCATCACCCCACGACCAGTGAGGCTTAGGGTTAGATTGGTTTTTGCCGCCCAGATGTCCAGCATTTCAAAAAACTGCCAAGAGGATGCCTGTGTTAGCCCATTTGCTGAAGGAAAACATCCCCCCCGACCCCCTCCCACAAACGGGCCATTGCTACAGAACTTCTGGATTTAATGCACAGAGAAAGATCCAAATGTTGATAGCGGCTATGCACAGGCAACAAAGCTTTTCTTCTTATTATACAGCCTCATCCTGGTCAGTAACGTGTATTACACAGCCCACTACATCTCTCCGTCTCTCCTCTTTTCCCCCATTACTGTTGTATGTCTTACTCACCCATTTATTCTCATTTGGAGAAAAAGAGATGATGAGGGTTTTATTTTCACCTGGCTCAAGCATTCGAACTGGTCTGACCAACAGGAAGGGACCGCTGGGATTCAGAACTGAGAATCCTAGCTAAAATAGTGCAACTCAAGGAAAAAAGTTTATAAGCAAAGATTGGGGAAAAAGATATAAGAACAGACTCTAAGTATTGTTCAGACCACAGATGTATAAACTAACCACCTATAAGCTTTTTCAGAGATCAATAACTAACTCAGAGAAAAGAAGAACTAATCAAATTTTTTTTTTCTCCACAGAATTCAAATAGCTGCAAGATCTTTTTCCAGTTCATAAGATTGCCATGTAACTCCATTTTCAGATTTTGCCTGGAATGGGTCATGAACACCCTCAGATCCAGGACGTGCCTTCTCCTGTGTTATCCCCCACAGCTTAACACAGGCAAGCCAGTGTAGTAGCCTCTTCTTACAAGGGATTCAGAAATTCAGAGAAGCGTTGTGCAAAAATCGAGTCGTTGGTTCTGTTTCACATGTACGTCACGCTACTGAAACTAGCTTTGTCATCACTACTTTATACTCCTTAGAAAGTGGTTAAGTGCTTCTCAAGTTTGGCTCTATGCAGAATTATTTCCACTTAAAAGGCTGGAATGGAATTAGCTTTCCAGCAGGTCACCTAGGCTCCTCCAGTATCTTCTTCACCTCACCTCCTGCCTCACTCCAAGATGTGTATCGAGGCTGAAATCTGCTACCTCCTCCTTGCTTTAGTGTCAAACAGTTCCTACCGATAAAGACTCAAATTAAACAGAAGCCGAACAGCAGATTAACTTACATGTTCTAAACAAGGATACTTCCAGCTTCTCTGGTGAGATATTTTGTATTGTAATTCTCTTAATCATTCTGTGGCCTGACAGGAATGAAAACATTTCAAAAAATGATGATGCTCACTCACACACATTCCTCCTTTTCACTCATGCTTCTACCTGGGCCAAACATTCATTCCATTTCCATGGCTAATGCATTAGTCAAAGCTCACCAAAATACTTTCAGATTTGTACAGTCACTCGTAGAGCTCCCAGTTCCATGTTTCGGGACCAAGGCTGCTTTTTACATGCCTCAGCTAGCCAGACGGGCTCCTAATTTTCCACCTAAGTACCTATTACAGGGCTAATTTCTATATTGACTTTTGAAAACCAACTGAGCAATGTAAAAGAAAATGCAAAACTACGCTCAGAAGAAATTCACGTCAGACAGAAAAAACTCAAAACTTGAATTCAAATTTCATACCTACTGCAACATCACCAAAATTGACTGTGGTTTTTCCATTATCTGAAGTGACCACAACAGATGGTGCTACAGCCGGACAGTGCATCTCCAAATACAGAGTGTTGGAAGGGCTGGAGGGAGAGTAAAAGGGTATTTGCTCTTGGATCATACAGAAATCAAAACTATGGTCAGAAATCTGCTCTTATTCTGTTCATATGACAGGATATCATTACATTGGTATTACAAAACAATACATAATTTTTGGTGGCTGACTGTTTTGTGCCTAAGCAGAAAGATGAACTACATCTGGCTTAAATTTTTCACACAATTATTCTTTAAGCTGCTTTGATATTCACGTGTTTGATTCTTATCCAACTAGTGGGTTGTAAGCATGAGTTTCTAACACTGACCTATGAAGTAATTAAGATCAGAAAACAAGTTTCCTCCCCAAATGAATAAATTAGCATGCCCACCATTTCCCTCTCAACTTAAGGGTCTTTTCCAACCTTAATGATTCTATGATTTCTGGACTATCATGACTTGCAGGTATCTAATTGCAAATACCTGCAGCTTAGGTTTTCAGAGCCTTTCTTTTCATCGATATGGCCACTTGCAACAAAGCATGGTATGATATATTTTTCAAACCTCCCACGGAAATTCCTCATCAGGAAAGCCTGGGCTGCCACATAAGCATCAGAACTAGAAAATCCAGGAAGAAAAGTCATCTCAGTAAGTGAGAGAGCAAGCAAGCAAAAAAAAAAAATCAAATAAATATCTACTGAGCTATTTGTGCTTACTGTTTCTTAGTCATACATTCAAAATTGAACATAACAGTGAAACAAAGTGACTGTCTTGATGCACAGTGATGGACCCACCCTAAGTGGTTTACTTTTCTCACCAAAAGAGAATAAAATTATAAACCCAGACAACAGATGCTATACTGAAGATTGCAAAATCCTCAATATGATTTCCTTAGGTTGAATACATTAAGTATTCCAGCATCTTGCAGTACTTCTACATCATTTCAACGACATGTAAACACATATGATCACATTTCTGTAATGCAATACGCCAAGCAATACTTCATAAAGGGAGTTTTAAAATATGAATTTTATTTTTATTACCTGTACTGGAAGTATTTAAAAATTATAATTAATGGATTCCAATGAACATGGAATTTTAGTCAAAACATCTAACATCCAGTACAGCCAAATGCCTGGTGTTTAAGCGTGTATTAACTTCCAAACACTTCTAAATTCCTCAGATTAGGCAGAAGTGTCGTTCTAAAAAGTTGAATTATATGCTAAGCAGGGGACCTCAAGTATCAGATTTTGCATTTAAGTATCCAAATTTCTAGATAGCACATGCTATTAATGTTAATTCTCGCTGAGGCACACCTATTGCAAAATGACTATTTCAAATGCGCATTTTACAGCATCGTTACATTTCCAGGACTGAAGATGACCATGACTAATATGATGGACGATGTAAGCCCTCAAAAAAAAAAAAAATTAACCCATACCCATGGATATGGGCCATCAGATGATTTCCATCTGGGCTGAATGTACTCGCTCTCTTAGACCTATTCAGAAAAGGTATATTAGTAGCGGTTTCTTTTGGTAACTAAGTTCAGCTTTCTAGTTGCCCTCTAAAATAACACCCTTGTTGGTTCAGCCAAATTTCCCCATACAGCCACATCTCATGCTTCTGATATATTCTTTGAAGTCTTCAATCCCTCTGATGCATAAAGGGATTCTTTGCCTTACATGAGAGGGTACAGCTGTGTGGCTTAAAAGCAGTACTAATTTTGGAAACAGCCTTTGCAACATAGCTAAAGCTATTTCTTCTCTACAGTTTGCTTTCTTGTCTAAAACCTATAGGTTTTAGTAGATTTATTAAACTATTTATAAAGAAAATGTTGTCTACGTAGTACAAGATGCTTTTGCTGACTTACTCAGGCTTTAACTCTTTGGATTTGGGTTGTTCAGAACTATGTAGAGAAGCCAGGTATTTACTGTCTCCATCCCTTACAAGCTGTCTGGAAGACTGCTGTCTGGTAATGGAAATGCTTAGTTTCTTTCCCTCTCTCTTTTCATCTTTCTTCCTTTCCTGCAAATACACACAGAGAGACATTATACACTGCGAGTGATCCCTGGCAATCCGGTCAAGACACCAATTTAGAAAACACACAGTCCCTGGCCCGAGGATACGGAACCGAGGAGGGGACAAAGTGCATGGAACAAGGTAACCGCAAGAGGATTATGGTAACAAGCCCCAGCCACAGTAGTTATTAATTAAATACGTTTCTAATAATGTAAAATCAAGGCAAAATGGATATATTTTACCCCATCTTAAAAAAAGAGTTCCCCTGTTGGAGCAGACGAATAAAAGACTGTATCTCTCATGGGAATTTTACCTACTTATCTCATAATTAAAGACAACCATAGGTGCTCACATAAATTAACTGCCCCACAGCATTGCATATAAAGTCCATGTATGCTGTAAATCTGCAAGAAGTGTAGAAACTTTTTTTTTTTTCCTAGGACTACTTGCAGTTAGCATTTGCAAGAAAATCCTCTAGGAATGCTTTTGAAATTGTTAGCATGAAATTAAATTATTGCTCAGTGAACAGACTACACATTAAGTGCAACAGCACAGTCATACCCTTGTCCTTTACAGGCAGGTCTTACATGGATCATGAGTTTGGGCTTCATTAATATGCAAATGATTTTATGATAAAAATACCATCCAGAGAAACAAATATCTGCAAGTAACAGCCCGACAGCATGTGCTAGTTCTTAGCATTCCTTACTTGTATTTCTGCCCCTGTCGCAGCTGCTCTGCAAAGCCTCCGAACTGGCTCTTCTCTGATTAGCTGATCTGACAATGTTGGTCTGAAGGACACTTGAATCAAGCTTTTCTGGGAGCGTGAGAGCATACACAAGGATGATAGGCAAAATTCAGCCCTCACACATGTGTTATACCTACAAAGCTCAATAGGAGCATACACATGACAGCAAACAATTAACAAATAAAATACAATTTTTTTCCAAGTGGATAAGATGATCCTAAGGATAAGGTCCCTTGCAGCCTTTTGGGAAGTCCGCTGTGTTACAGTGGGCTGGTTTCACATTACCAATGTTTTTGATATTTAAACATTCTTCAAATAAATCGTAATGACAACACTGGGGAAAGAACATTCAGGGTGAAAACTCCCATTAAGTATTAGCCAGATTTGATGGTTAACCCCTCATGTCCGATTTAAAACATTATTTCAAACAGTACAAAATATTCCAGCTATTCTAATAATAATAATTCACGTTTTGAGCTTCATTTACAAGTGACAGCATTTGTAGGGATGTAGATGATCAAAAGATTTAGCAGAACACTTGACGTTTAAAGTGAATTTACCTTCCCAGGCAACACAGTTCCAACAGAAGGTGTAACTGTCACCGGGCAGTCCTCTGGCACACAGAATTCAAAGGAAGCGGGTCCGACAGGGGCAACTTCCCCATCGCCAGTTCTTGGGACAGCATGAGTAAAGTGGTTGACACTCACATGGGGATTCATCACATACAGCGTTGCTGCAGACACACCATTTAAAGCTGTTGCAGCAAACCGAACTAAGGAATGAGACAATTCAAGAGGTGGGTGGACTCCAACTGCTTTGCATGACAGCTTGAATTGTCTAAAAATAAACACATGATAAATTGTCTCAGCATAAAATAGTCTCTTAATCAGCCCGGAAAATAGGGAACTAATCCTGTAGTCCCTATTTAAGCAGAATTTCAAGCTTGCAATGGGAATTTTGCCTAAAGATGAACAATAATACTATCTATTTTTAATGCACAATTGGCTAGAGTCCCTACTTGAATTCTTCCTCTGTGAACTTCTGGAAACACATCCAGTCAAATCAAAGTTTATGCCATCATTATTTCAGTAGCACTAGCTTAATGTATGAAGCATTTAAAAAAAAAAAAAATCCTTCAGTAATTCTGCCAAAAAAGCAAGCAGGACATTGCAGGTTAAAATGACCTGGGGCAACCGCACAGCTTGGACCTGTGAGAAGGATAAACTTCAGGTGGGATAGGAAAAGTCATCTCCATCCATGTAAATGAAGGAGGAAATTAACTGGCATTGGCCATCTCTTGTCATCTGGAGAATTCCTACCTGCCTCACATTTTTGTCCTGGCCTTACCTCTTCAAAGTAGGCAGGGATTTCATTTCTGAACTAGCTTAACAGTGGAAATCCAGCGTGGTTTAGACTTCTACATTACCTCCTACTCCATCAGTTTCTTAACATACCTATTAATCTCTGACTTGCAGGTCAGTTCAAAGCTGTACTCTTTTGCCTTGTTAGCTTTAAAGATTATGTCCAGTGTCAGGCTTTCAAGGGGAAGAAGAATTCCAAATCCGTCATTGGGCTGAATTTCAACAAGCTTCAAAAGGGCAGGATAAGAAGTTATTGTTATTAAAATAATTAGTTAAATTATCAAATTATTAAATAAATTAAGACATTACTGGCAAGATAAGAAAATGTTTTTATTAAATGTACAAATGTCAGGAGAACAGAAACCTTCCAGTGAGAAGCCTTCATTTGAGTGAGTGACTCGTGTCTGACTGACGTGCACATTTCTAATCTCAAAGTAACTTGAAAGGCATTACATCCATTACCTTGGACTTCAGCAGCATCTCTTGCCCAGCTTCTTACCATTTATGGTAACCACCTTTCTCTAATGGCATTTATTTACTTTTCACAGACAGTTGAATGAAATATGATAATTATCTCAACAGTTCCCCCTGTATCTTTGAAGCGCTGATTCCTGTATGCTGTGCACATGCCATAGTGACAAGTACAGTTTAATATCTACAGATGTATATTGGTTTGTGTTTATGAGATGATGATGATGATTCAGGAATGTCTCCCCATCCCATTTTAAGCTAATCATGAAACACATGCTGTGAGGTAAAGCTTTAATGAAGCTGAAGATTCCAGTTTCTTTTAGCTAACTAACTCCTTGATTTTAATCCCTGGAACAGCAGAGAAAGGGAGAATGCCTAATTAAATGTCAGGTTCCTCTAGCTCCGATTCCAATATGCCAAACCATTTCACACTGTGATCATCATGCTCTTATGAAGCTTGAACAGCTAACTTTTTGCAAAAAAAAAAAAAAAAAAAAAAAAAAAAAAAAAAAAAAATTCAGTAGACCTAGCCCACACGCAACTGGCAGCTTCTGTGATTAATTTAGCTTCCATGTCAACCTACAGTCAGTCAGAAAATACCTAGGCATGGTTCAGGGGATGATTCCCACCAAGCGGTTTGAATGCGGCCATTCTGCTTTAAAGACAAAGCGTTTAGGCATTCGGATGCAAACTGGGCGATATTCCTCAGCCTCAAGGCCAAAGCAACAGCCCTAAGAGCCAGTTTTATTTAGGAGCATAAGGGACCTGTGAGTCTGAAAGAAAAGCGTACCAGGTATTCTGTTAGTAGATTTCTTGGGGTAAAAAATAGGTACTCTAATAGGATAAAGTTAGCTCGATAACGTTATGTAGGTGAGAAGAGTAAAATCTCCTCGAAGATGTTGATACTGCTTGGAAAATGCTTTGGGTAAAATAAGATGACATTTACACAAACCAGTACCAGAACTGATCTGCGTGTTTCCACAGTGCTGCAGGCGCTGTTAGTTCCACGGGTTTGCAAGAACCAGTCCAGATTTATTTACACTCACATTGAAACACGTTCCTGTAATAATTAAATATATTGTGATACAAGAGGAGCTGTGTGTGAGACAACTACATACCTCTGGAAGTCCCACAAACCCAAACTCTTGTGGCAAGATGGATTTGTTTGTTAGCGTGACATTTGCCTGCACAGCTTCATAGATTGTGCAGTATCCAAAATTGATTTGTGCTGGACTGATTTCCAAATCAGAAGTAGTAACAATTGCATGGACAGTAAAATTAACCTTTTTAGCCTGAAACAAATGCAAGAGGACAGGATAAAAACCCCCATCTGTGGCATTGTAAGGACAGGATTTAAGTGAAACGTCATCCAAAAAGATAACTGCAAAAAAGTTATTCTACTCTATTCCTTGACAGTAACATATGTAAATGTAACATATCTATCTTGAACTTCAGCCTCATTGTTCTCCAAAAATAAGCAATAGAAATTGTCTCTGATAAGCAAAATTAAAAAAAAAAAACAAAAACAAAAAAAAACCCAAAAAACCAAACCACCACCTGTATCTCAAATTCCGTAAGCTAGAATGGAATCACACCTGCATCTCCAGGAAATATAAACTCTCAGAATATGCTACATCTGCAGTACAGATCAGAATAAGAAGATCGTGCTATGGTATCTCATAACTCTCTGGTACAAAATAAACTACTAGGGAATAGATGAGCACCATCTAGAAAGGATTTAACTTTCTGTATTGTAAACATGCCGGCAAGAAGAAACTATCAAATCTGTATTATCAGTTTAAGCACCTTTTACTATTATCATAGGACTTCAACTAGTAAAGAAGTCATTTAAGATTAGGTATCCTTAAGTGAACATTCACTAAAATAATTTATATCTATTGTCAGCCTGATAGCCAGCACAATAAAAATCACTAACCTTATCCACAATCAGTATCGTCACTGGAACTTCCAGAACTCCGGTCTCTTCATTAAAATAGCTCCCTGCATCTTCAGGAAGGGAGTGCCTAAGGATCAAAAAGTACATGCAGTTTCATAAAAATATTTTTACTATTTTCTAGCTAAGGGGAATAATAAACTTTTGGTGGATGTATTTCTGAACAAAAAGGAAATCCGTTACTTAAGGTCTAAAAGTTTTATTATTCACAGCTTTTAATCTTAACTCAGTATTAGTGCTCAAATAGCACTTCACTGAAGTGAAGTCTAACTGAAATGTTGTACGTGAGATACATGTGAGTATTAGGGAAAATGGTGGAAGAATAGTGGAAGAAAACGCCAATCAAAAATTAGCGACCTACAAAGTTCCACCTTCTGACCGAGAAAAAGAAGATGCAGCCAGACCAGAAATATTATGGACTTGTCACAGATTTCCTGTAGAACGGCATACCTCCAGGCAATCTGCCCTGGGCAGGGGTGCGCGGATTGCAAGGGTATCTAGCAATGAAGTTAGAGTAATTGACCTTGTACCCTAATGTTGGATTTTTTTATTTTTAAAGACAGGAATTTGGACAGACAGGAGTTTAAAGGAGTTATTCAGAGGTCTGCATCCATTTATCCTTTTTTAAAAGGCCATCCAGTCATTTAAAATTCTGAAGAACTGAAAGCTTACTTTATAATCAGAATATCAGGCTTCTGCATCTTTTGCTGCAACGACAGCACATAAGCAACCCAAGGGAGGCAGTCCTTTCCTCCCGACACTGACGGTAGTTAATTACCAGCCAGGCTGAGGCAGAACCAACTGTGTCACAAAGCACAGAGGCACAACTAAAGTGAAACAAACTTGGAGATGCGGAGTGCCTGGTTATGTACCAGATTCGTAATTTATGAGAAATACGCGGGTTTTCTGTCGCTGAAGCATCTTGCTGTCACAAGCTCAATTTCAGAGCTTCAAGCCAAGACAATACAAAAGCTCCAGCGTTTTTAGCTCTGCTGGTCTATTTATAGTGCCTTACAGCATCCGAGTGAATTGCTTCCTGTTCTTAGGGCTCCACAGTGACAACGTTCCTACTACTACTACTGGAATTACATGCCATTTTTTAATGTATTGTTAAAGAACAGTTAATGAATAAATAGCAGCCACTCGGTCACCATGGTGATCTGAAATCTTGCTGGCTGTTATTTTGCAAGTCTGAAATGCGACTTTCGAAGGTGATCTTCAAAGGTATTGCTAACTTGTTTAAAGATAGGAACTGGCGTTAAATACAAGGTAGGAATAAAGTATCAGCTTTCACTTTGTCACAGGACATTAGAATAGCAGAAGACATTAATGTATTACAAAATAATCCAGGGGAAAAAAAATAATTGTAACTGTACATACACAGTGATGGACTCTAAATTAGCTGTGATGCCTTGGGGAAAAGATACTGAAACCTTCATAAAGTTCTCTGCAAACAGCATCTTCATGCTTAAAAGCAATTAAAGAGAAGTATAAAAGACAAATCAGATTTAGACTGCCAGCATCTGCAGGACTAGTTCCAAATGCAGAAAAACTAGGAGATGTGGTATTTGGGAATTCGGAACGTCAGCAGATTAGAAAACTTGCCTTCAAATAAACAGAAAATGGCTGCTTCAAACACCCAGAAAGTTATGAGTATTGTAATGTCTGACCAAGCATTTCCGTGTGCACACTACTCGGGAGAGCTTCCCAAGCCTTCAGTCCTCTATCTGGTCACTTAGTACGGCTGAATGAGTGCTGCTTTCTACTTTGTGTTACTTTTAGTATAGCTATTCTTTCTTCTGAGAAAACCAAGCTTATAATACTAAGTCAATGAGGAGGCCTTTGCAGAAACGTGTCTCTAGCTCAGTACTTCCCATCAGCTTGTAGCAAGCTCATCTTTCTGTCATACACGCACTCTCCCTGCGTGTTAGGTGTTTTAAAACGGAGCTGTACGCTGAAACAGCCAGATACTTATTTTGTGTGTCAGAAGTGCCTTAATCTCATCAAATCTCCTTTCTGAAGCTTCCTCATTTTTCAAAGGATGATTAATGTCCTAAATCCAAGCTATGCTTCTATCCACTCAGTAAGCGTACAGAGCATCTTTAGAGCACCTGAAGTTTAGGAACTGAAAAATGTCATAATAATGTTTACTGTTGTAATCTGATAGGATTTGAGATGTTGGAAGAACTGTAAATACTTTTAGTTCTTTGAATATTAACCTGGTGAAAATTTCAAAATCGGTGATTGGACTCTCAACTTCGCATCAGAGGTGCTGAGCACACCAGCGAAAATCCGGGTATACTGACATCCCCGGGCCTGCATAACCTGCAGGGAAACAGCAGCAGGGTTGCAGCAGCCACCAGTGCAGGAGCCGCTGACGTATTTGGCTGTACACCAGAATTAACATCTATATCATTTAATTTATATTTGAAAAGAAATGCCCTGCTAAATTCTTTAGGATGGCAATGACGAGGTAAATAAAATGAACAGTGGTCAACATGAGCTCTTGAATTTAAATTTTTAAAAACTGCAATTCTTTGTTCCCTGTAACTGAGTTCGGTTTGTATATGTAGATATATCATGAAATGGAGACGAGAAACTTGCTGCGGTGAGGCTTTTAGCATCTCAGAAGATGTTATATAAAATGCCACATGAAATTCAAGATCGATACATTCATATTCTGGAGAAAAAATGTACATGGGTAGGAAAGAGATGAACAGGAAGCCCAACCATTCTTACCTTAATTAGCAAGCACAGGAGTTCTGTCCAGAAATTATTTAATCACTGATGCATGAAGTAGCCACCTGCCTAGATAACCTCTCTCCGGTGTAAGAATAGCTTCCCCACAGAAATGGGAGCAGCCTACCAGGAACGCAACTGCTAAGATTTTCACACTGCTGCTGTCACCACGGGAAGAGCATTTCCTCACAGGTATGTGATCCAAGTTCATTTCCTCCTTGAGCATCTGGCAGCTCTTAAGGGGGAGAGAGGGGGAGACGAGGCCTGCACTGACACCAGCAGTGTGAAGTCCAGCCCACTACAACGTGAAGGAAGAAAAAACTTCGACCTGCTCAGGTTTTCCACAGATATTGTCTTAAATACTGAAAAGATTAATGGTGTTAGGTTACCTGGGCAGAAACTTCAACTGCACACTGAAGGATGACTGCGCTTGAATGTAACCTGTTTTTGGCAGCAGCTCCATGTGCTTACGCAATTCTTTGCATACTTCAAACTTCAAACGCAGCGTGGCTTTTGCTCTGCGAACAGATCAGATATGCTTAGGTGGCTTCGAGGCTACCCGTACTGCCACCTCAGCAACATTTGCTCTTGGAGTTTGATCCCCCCTGCCCCCCACCATTGCATCTCTACTCTACATTGCGATTATAACTATTCCAAGCTTCCTTTGGAAATGATAGGCATGTAAAACTGCTACAGCAAAATCACACAGTTGTATTCTCTTTTAAGATAAGTATAGAAAACAAGATTTTGGAAGAACTATAAGTAAACCCAGCTGTATTTCAAGCAATGTACACAGCTGATTGGAACATAATTAAAGTGCAGCAGAGTGGTAAGTCAGGTCAGGGGAAAGTCAAAGCCAAATTATTGTGAAATAGCAGCTAATTATTTGCTCCTAACATACACTCTCTCTATCTGAATCAACAGGAATCACTCACTCAATGTCTGAGACATCTAACTGGCCCTAGCTGCAGCACAGAACCCACTCAAGATGGAAAAGGAGCGGTGGCCTTGTAATGCTGGGTCTAGGACACGTAACGATTGGTGGTGGGTGGGATGCAACAAATAAAAACCTGTTATTCTGTCTGAGAAACAGAAAAATGAAGACAGTGACCCCTGAGTGTGGCCAAGGATACCTGGATGCTGCCTAAGTGGCTAACAAGCACTTCATGGCCCAGCCTGTAGTCAGAAGAATGAATCTGAAAGAGCATAATGCACCTAAAACATCAACATGTACCCAGTTTGTGAATTCCATTCCTCCTCATTATCAGCACAATTATCTCAAAACCTTCGATACAAAAAATTAAGCCTGTACAGGCAAGAAAAAAACCCCTCAAACTCTGGGCCATGGGGGGGGCTGTCTTATGCCAGAAATGCACTGAGAGTGCTGCTGCTTTTCGTTTTTCTCCCCAAAACCGTGGTGACTTCTTTTAAATAATGTGGATTCAGAGATCTCCTGTAACTTCTCCTGTAACAGCAGAGACTCTACAGGGCTAGAAGTCATAGTGTGGCTAAGCTGGTACTGCCAGTTCCGCTGCTAAAACTTGGGATCAATTTGCCCTATGACTGGCATATTGGAAGCTAGGAAACAGCTCCCTGTTTACTGAACTCTGGCCATATTATAATACAGCGATAGCCACAAACCATACCCTGCTTTGGAATTTTATGCCTATGAGCAAAATCGCCAAGCAATTTACAAATATTTCAGCTTGTCATTTTCCTTCTCTTGGACGGGTTTACAAGCTGTCAGTCCAGATGGTCTGCTCTAAATCAACAGCGATAGCATGTGGTACTGGGAGCCTGGAATGATTTCTGACTGTTGACAATCTCAGAGAACTATATACTACTTCATTAAATCAGTGCAGATTATAACCTGCCAAAGACATTACTTTGAAAAGTGATTTATATCGGACAGGATTCTGATAAAGCACTTTCACCCTTTATGCTGCTTATTTATGCTTCCTGATAACCATATTCTATGCGACCAGAAAAAAAAAGCCCCAAACCCAAACCAAACCCAGTATTAACTAACATTTTGCAATTCTACAGAGCTTGCTGAGGCACTTAAGTGCCAGAGCTACCTACCTTGAAAACTTGATCTTGCACTTGTGCTGTAGACCACAATGTCATAGACTGCAGCAGCAATAAGATACAAAGTTCTTTCTGCTCTGCTTCTGGCAGATGTTTGTGAACGAAAGGCTGCTCTAACACATCATCTCCCTCAGGTCTGGGTCAGATTTTGCCCTGAAAATCTAAAGAATTCTCTTGCTACAAGTTTTAGGGTTTTTTCTGTTTTGGTTTGGTTTTCCCTTTTCTATAACTAATTAGCGATTAGTGCAGAAATTTGTAAGAATATTGCTGAATAGCAGGATTATTTAAGTATCTAATTAATATTTAATTAAAGAATCTGTGTTCTAGAGTTACATTAATAAGAGTTCACACCTACTGGATCTGAACTTTAGTTCTCGGTGGCTAAGGCATTTCAGCAGTTGTCAGACAAGCGGCCTTTTCAGCTGGGCTGTGGTAACCTTACCTTTGGGCTCCTTCGGCGAACGGTTGCTACGAGCATTCGTTCACCGACAGCACTGCAGTAACTCTTTAGCCCGTGTAAGAAGCTATTGGCTTTGTTTGCACCTTGACAGCAGTTTGGACGCGTCTTTGCTAGCCTGGTAATTGTCCTTGGCTCTGCATCCTTTGCTGTGCATACTTCCAGGCCACAGACCTTCGCAAGACTACCTTTCCCCAGTTTTTCACTATTGCAATTAAAATACAGCTACTTACTAGGCTAACCTAAGAAATGGACTGGTAGTAAGCTCTAGCTATTTTCAGCTGTTTAACTTCATTCCGTTTGAGAAGTGGTTTGACATGTACCATCTAACAATGAGGAATCCTCATTCTGATACATGCTACAGAAAAATTTCAATAGCTACTAGAGGAAGAAACTTCTCAGGCACCACGTCTAACTGAATGATGGAATCCACCTCCTTTTACAGGATAAAAAGTTGAGACATTATATTCCTGCACACGAAATAAATACTCTGAATTTCAGCCCACATGACTGTATAACAAAGAATTTTTCCTAACTATGAGGAATTGGGTGATAAATCAAAGAGTTGATTTGCCAAGGTACTAAGGACAGCATACTACATACTAAGTGCTCTTAATTTAGTGAGACTTGGCGAAGGATCAGCAGGATTTTTCCCTCAGTTAAGAAGTTTTGCCCTAAGCAATTTGACAGCTTCTATCTTTGGGATCCCCTTGAAATCTTAAGTTTACATTAGGAGAGTTAGTCTGCTTCTATACTTATAAGTTTTATCCCTGGGTTATCTAGACCAAGTAAAATCACTTACATAACAACTTGTACTTGTCATATCTGTAAGCTGAATTTCTGAGATAACAGCTTTACTCATTTCTTTCCAACTGTGAAGAATCTCTGCAGTCTGTAATTCTGGTAAGAGGTTTAGAATGGATGCCTTCTACAGAACCAATCTCTCCCCCACCCTCCCACAAACCCACCCCAATCCGATTTAAATAGAATCTAAGAAATGCAAATTGTTAAAATAAGCATTCAATAGTGACTGCATTAGGTAGAGGGAAGACACCCAGCACCTGCAGACAATTAAGAGAGTAAAAGTTGATGTAACCACTCTCTAATAGCAGGAAATCTCTGGGGGTCAATTAGCTGAAATATTATCTTTATATTGCAGTGCAAACAGAACCAGTCTTCAGACATTACTGACTTGGACTACAGAAACCCACAGCTATTTTTTCCCCTGTAAACTGGTATTCAGTCACGGTCTGTGTACTTACAAGGTGTCTGTCACTCCAGTGCAGTGCTTAATGCCTACACGGGTTAGGAAAAGTTGTACCCTTCCCATTTTACAGTAAATGCAAAAGGGCTGACGTGATTTATCCAGCATCATATCCCAAGTCTGGTAAGACTGGTGATTGACCTTCCCAATAAAGAACAGTTGGCATGAGGCTGGCTTCCAGATCCTAAGTCTCTCATGGATTTTAATTAAAGGTAAAATAGCTGAGAAATAACAAAATATTATTTCGTAAAATTTCCTGGCTGAATCAATTATACCCAATGTGGACTTAATTTTAGACACATTTATCTCCCTAATGTTTAGAGCACAAACTGCCCATGACGAACCTCTGTGGGGCTGCTATCCCCTAGGGGCTTTACAGTTCCACCACAGAACAGGTACAACATAGGGAATCTTGTAGGAGCGGAAAGGCACGTATTAACTCAGATACTTCCTAGCTACGGCTGGGCTTGGGAATCTGGGATAGTGGGATACCCAAGTCCAAGTTCCACAGAAGCGCGGAACTCAGAGGGCTTGTAATCAGGACGTCCTCCTGAAATGGCAAGGAAAAAACCAAACTCTTCTTCGGCTTCCTATGATGCCAAGATGGGTCTGGCACAGCGGCACCTCAAGACATCACCTAGTGACTCACGATCTCATTGTTTAGCTCGAGAAGGCAGCTGATAAGGAAAGGGCAGCTCACCTGCTTTGAACGACAATGCAATCCTGATACAGTCCGTCATACATACAGATCTTTAAATCAATGTTGGGACTGGGCACCCAAACCGGCACATCAGTAGAAACTCCAATGGCACTAAAGCACAGCTGTTAATACAGAAACCGAGAGTGTAAATATTTTTGTTAGTCTCAAATTCTTACTGATCTAGACAGAGCAAGAATTTCTGCTATAAACTACAGCTGAGTAAAATATTTTGTGATTCATATTGCAACAGGTTCTTTAATTAGACAAAGCTATGAAAATAATTTGTAATATAAAACCTAGATGTTATGGTGTTTCAGCAGAAAAAAGAATTATACTTTGGTTTGGATTCTTTGACAGACAACATGAAAGAATAGCGTGCTGCCCACGAGACCGAAATTAAAGTGCACCCAGCTTAAGCGAACGTGCAGAAACTCAAGAGGCAGCAGCTTGTTCAGCCAGCAAAGAAATACCGTAACGGCAGCACAGTGCTGTACTGCCTATAGCGACCTTAGGTCTGCCATCAGTGACCACATAGCTCGGACTTCGACCAGATGAGCCTGAAAGAGAGGGTACCAGAGGAGGCTGCAGTATGCACCTGCAGCTCCTTTTGCAGGCTACTCCATCTGCAGGCCGCGGGGAGAGCCAGGGCTGGCCTACTGAGCTGCTTGACATTTTTTCTTTATTTTTTTGGCAAGCTTCTGTGAACTGTTCCCAGGCAGAATTTGGCTTCCAGTAAAGCGTGGAATCAAAATATGCTAAGTGGTAACTAAAGTTGTCATCTCTTCCAGCTTTCACACATCAGTTTCACTACTGCATGCTAAGTAATTCCAATTCTGATATATCAGAAAGAAAATAAACTACGTAGGTTGGGAATAAAGAAGAATACTTTTGTATTTGTTTCCAGGACATTAGATGTTTTCCAGCATGATGTCTGATAAAATGGGAATATCAGGATTATTTGCATAGAAATTTAAGAGAATCAACGTGTTTAATAACCATACTGCATCAGAAAGAAGGGCCACGATTTACAAAATTACCTCCCAACAAACCACATAATACACTATCAGATGGTACCTCATTGTTATTTCTCATAATGTTCATAAACATATCTTCCTCTACCTCCTTCTCCTGTTTCTAATACAGGATTCTGAGCAATTTTAACTCTTGGAAAAAGCAGAAGTAGAAGGGTTTTAAACTCCTTTCCTACAGTGTTTTCAAGCAAGTCTTGCACAAAATCACTCACTGGTTTGCAGTCCGAGTTGTCAAACACGATCACAAACTCTGCCCGCACATCCCCAGGGACGGCTGGGACAAATATAATCTGAAGTCTGACTGAGCTGAAGGGTCCAATTTCACCTTCAGTAACCTAAACAAGAAGTAACATGTTTTTAATGAAAATCTGACTGTATTACTGTAGTCAGCTATAAATTGTATTGAAATAAAGCAGCAGTATATACCCACACTATACAAACGCTATTACACCTAGTTTGTAACTAGATTGAACGCAGTATGCGAGGGAGAAATCAGTATCAGCAGCTCCCTAGGAGGTTTAGTGTGGGGAAGAGCCTTGGCACGACACATGGTTTCACAACCAGGCGTGGTCAGAATTTTACTGAGAGTCTCCTGTTACTGCAAGACTCTGTCTGACAGCTAGATAACGTGGTTCACCGAGGTGTTCCCATCCTATATTGCTGAATATGTAACCACAACATAGAGAAGCTGTCTTGTGCTACCATTCAAAGATTCTACTGATTCCAGCACTAAGTCCATCTGCCTTTTGTATGCACAGGTAGAAGCTGTAAGTGCTAGTACGAACTGGTATCTGGACTCTCATATCCAGATTTTTTAATACGGCTCAAGTTTGACGTTTCCCAGACATTCTTCCTGCCCCATCTCTTGTGCTGTCACTAGACTTTGTATAACCACAGAAAGACACAGCAGAAAAATCAGTTGGGAAGAAAAAAAACCACCACCGAAACAAAAAAATAAAAAAAAAAAAAAAGAAGAGTTAAATTATGGGAAATTTAAATCTCTACAGAATCTTTCAGCTCAAATAAGTCTTTATAGATCAAAAGAAAGGGCAAATACGTCATGTGATTTCATTTTAAGAATGAACTGTGATACAGTGAAGTCCAGTAGGCTTGAAGTTGATCACGTACTTAAGGATTTCCCACCAGAGCCAAAGCAATTTATTTGATGTAGGCTTAAACAAGTGAAAATCTTGTCTGCATCTCAGGATATTCATTACCTTTCCAAGCATAATTTCAACGGGTGTTTCTTCAGGAGAAAGTTTCACTAAATCGTGCGCATTGTCTGTATCGAGATCTGATCTGGAATTTAATACATCTTGACCAAGTTGTTCTGGGGGGAAAAAAAAACAACACAAACAAAACCCCACAAAATGCTGGATGTGTGCATCTATTCACTAAACAAAAATATCAAACAGAGCAGAAATACATTGATTTTGGTCAATATTGCAAATCCAATAATGTATACCAATGATGTGGAAATATAAATGTCTAGAAGGAAATTTCTGTTTGGCCATACAACTGTGCCCTAGTCCCGAAGTCAACCTTGGGCACCTGAGCCTTCCGCTACAGAACAACAATATTAATGTTTCAGAAGGATAAAGTATATATCGGATATTGTCGCATCAAGGAATGCAAACTCAGCTGAAAGCGCGAACTGGGCTTTAAGAACAATTTCAGCGGGACAAAGCAACGCCGTCAGGAGGACCCGCGAAACAAGTGAAAGTGCTGCTTCACTTCAGTTTCAAAACGACCGCAATAATAAGTACCTTTTCATTGAAGGGTCTCCCACCAGGGCTTCAAAGTGCCTTAAACTAATGCCTCAGGAGAGGGACGAAGCTAACTCTGAACTGTATGGCAGTAACCAACTGGCCACCACACGCTTCGCATTAACCAGGAAAAAGATCAAGGTGCCATCAGATAAGTTAGCGTGCGTGGGGACAGCTGCCGCGACTTACAGAAGCACTCCATTTCACAATACAGATCCTAGCTTTAAAAAGAAAACACACCCACAACCTTTTCATGGAACTTTTAGTTTCCTGCAATTGGAATGTTCAATATCCAGAAGAAATATTAAAGAATACAGATAAGTAAGAAATTAAGGAAGTCTTTCTTCTACAAGACTGGATTTTTTTAAGCACGTAGTAAACATTAGGAATGAGATGGCAAAATGTCTGAGGAGGTTCATCTTTCTGCTTCCTTGTTCCTAGAATTACAGACTATAAAAATAAACCTGTCATGTGGATTTCTATTCTGAGAAGCAGGCACTCAGTTGCTAAGACAATGTGGTGGGCTCGCCGTGGCTGGCCGCCAGGTGCCCACCAAAGCCGCTCTGTCGCTCCCCCTCCTCAACTGGACAGGGGAGAGAAAATATAACAAGAGGCTCGTGGGTCGAGATAAGGACAGGGAGAGACCATTCACCAGTTACCATCACCGGCAAAACAGACTCGACTGGGGGCAATTAGCTTAATTTATTACCAATCAAATCAGAGTGGGGTAATGAGAAATAAACCCAAATCTTAGAACACCTTCCCCCAACCCCTCCCTTCTTCCCAGGCTTAACTTATTTCTGTATTCTTCTGAGGCTGAATTGTTGATCACTAATGAGAAGTGAGATTCTCTGCTGCTTTTGATATAATGGTGTCAGTACATTATTTTTAGTCATTTTTTGTGAGGCAGCATGCAAAGAAATATAACATTACTACTAGAATGATGAACTACTTAATTTACTGAGTAACTCTGCAAACTGAGTTCCACAGTTCGTTACAGGAAACTCTACAAATGGATAACGCTTAGCCTGGGACGCTGCACTGCCAATGGTCTCAAATAGTCTCCTCACCCGCGGAACCACTGCTCAGGCTCGGCTCCGTCCTCTGCTGCTCCCCCCGGGCTACACAGGAGGTCATTTCTGCACTATGGTCAGGAGAAATTTCTTCCTTCTTTTCAACTACAGATGTCACAGGACTATTGCTGACTTTCTTTTCAGGGATGCAGTCACTGAAGTGTTGAGTAAGCTATCAGAAAACACAGAAAAAACATTTTCTACTGTGACTGTTCATCTAGCTTGCACCAGCTCCAATTTTATCAAGCAGTTGCAAATCAGATGTGTTTTCTTGCAACTGTTCCACATTACAAATGGAGAAATGCGTTGCACTTTCTACAAACTGCACATTCTATTAGACCTTTATCAATGAGCAGATGTAATTTTTGCTGGCTTCCCAAAACAGGTAAATAATATAATGGGAGCAATACAATACAGCGTCAGTTATTTTACAATTAACAGAACCAACATTTTTCTAGTGGAAACACAGACAGTTCTATGTCAAAACTAAGTCTGCTAAAACTAGACCTCTGTTTATTACACACCTACAAAGCCAGAATACAGAAGGAAAACCATGGATACAGACGGTGTTATTTCACAAATTCTTTATTTGAACCACGCTTTTAATGTAAGGATAGTGTGAGAGCTGAAAACCATGGCAAACAGCTCAGCAGTTTCACTGTACATACTATTTAATGGAGTGTTTCAAAAGAGAGGTCAACCCTTTTCTTAGAACTTAAAACTGGGTTAGGTTATCAAGCAGGGAATTTCGAAAACCATCTGAGCCAATTGCTCTTCAACAATCAAAGAAATTAAAGACTGCAGTGATGGAACAAAGATGAAGTATCTGCACTGTGTTTACAGGAACATGCAGGCACTTCAAAACAAAGATATGCAACCCCGTAGGGATATTCTCTCTGGTCAGGGACCTGTGAAATCTATTTATGGCTGCTACCTATGCAACACTTGAGGGAAAAGGAACATTTATGATAACGATATTCATCAACACAGGAATTACAAAGCATGAGTTCCTACCACAGTGGGTGGGTGGTTGTTGTTGGCTGGTTTGTTTGCTGTTTTTTTTTTTAAATCTGAAGATTTCCCCACTTTAAGAATAAAGTCCACAACTTAGTTAGAAAAGGAGCAAGTATGTCTTCAGATTTAAGCTGCTCAGTCTTCTCAAAAATCTGCCCCACAGTGCTGACGTGCAAAGAAGATTGTATGCATGCTTTCGTTATCTTTTTCACTTAAAATTACCTGCTACATGGAGGAGTACCTGCTAGGATTCCTCAGTTTTCTGTCAAATTTGGAACTGGCATGCTGTAGGAGCAATCGCTCTCAGGTCTAACACCACACACACTGTCAGCCCTGCACCAGGTGCCTGAGGTTTGGTGCATTTCAACAGCCTCTGCTTCATTCCCACCCAGGACAGCCCACAGGACACAACATTACAACCATTTGCGTTCATTCCACTATTGATTTGAGAGATCTTCCTTCCATTCTTTTAATAATGTTTATTATTATAGTTTTCAGGCAACAACCCTCAGTGTAATTCTTAGTCAAACTAAGACGACTTTTTCCCTTGGAACAACAGCTCGTCAATAACTGCGACTGTCCTTCTTTGATAGGAAATTTAAATGAACAGCTGTGAAGTTTTAAAGGAAGATCACAGACTAGCGCTCCCAATTCTCATTACTTTACTGCTAGTTTTGCAGCAGTTGGCATTTTTCTGAAGTCCAGGAGCTGGGATTTTAAATGACTCCGTCAGAATCTCCTCTTTTAACTAAAGTATTTTTTCCTAATTTTCATGGATCTGGAGAAAATAGGAATCACGACATAAATGACCAAAATGTTAAAAGTTATCATTGTTGGTTCCCCCTACCCCCCCCCCAATACTCATTTTTAAGTTTGTCTTGTGATATTTGGGGGTCTAACAGATGATATTAAGATGTGCCAACCCAAACATAAATGAACTACTAAAGGTTGGACCAGATGATCTTCCGAAGTCCCTTCCAACCTGAGCTGTTCTATGATTCTGTGTGATTCTACCACAGTGTGCAAAGCAGAATGTTTCTGTCAATTTAGGGAAATGCTTTTGAACCTACCGTTCTTCCAGGAGAAGATTTTGCTGTTGCTCTGCATGTACTGCTGTCACCTGCTGACGTCTGAACTTTGAATCTTGTTCCCAAAGCTCCGCTGTTTGTCAGGTTGATGGTCCGTGAAATTGTCTCTCCCACCACATGGCTCCCAAAGTCAATGAGCTCTTTATCTAGTGCCAGCTGTGAGAAGATAACCCATTAATTACTACTGTCCTAGATAGTCAGTAATGTCAATTGAATGAGCATCCACCTTTTCAAGAATAGGACTTTAAAGCTCTTATTATCATTTCAAAGAGCGTATCAAATAACACGGAACTGTGAGTATCCTTCTGCCTTTTTGCAGAAGCCAACTCATTAAAACAACGTCTTGTTAAACTGAGCCACTTCCCTTTCAGTCCACTATATGACAAGGGAAAAACCAGGTTAAATTCTGGTCGTAGTAGCAGCTTGCGTAAGTCTTCAGGTAGTTACTCTGGAAGTAGGTAATGCTTACATACCAATTCAACACTGGTGCTCTTGTGTTACAGTACAATGGCTTTACTAGCATCAAGCTGAGAAGCAAGCAGCATTTAAAAATCATATAGTGACTACGTATCAGTTTATAACACATCCTGTCTTGTTTCTTTGAGCTGCCATGGTTTACAGCCAGTTTAAAAAGTAATACACTGCTTCCTATAGAATTTTTAATGACTTTGCAATGGGGTATACGATAACGAAAGACTTGTAATTCAAGTTCAAGCACCAGAAAGACAAAGACAACTCGGTTGCTTGCTAGTATCCTGCTTACAGCTGAACTCTTCCCACTTCCAGGGCATAAAGAACAGGAGTATCCTGCGTGTAACCAGCACGCAATGCTGGTATGAATTCTCTAGATGAAGAAAACTATTCCTCTGACCGAAGATGATTTTGCTGGCTTTCTACTGTAGTGTGCATTCTCATCATCAAGGTCTTTTAACTGAAAACCATCAGAGCGCCCTATACACAGTCAGATTTAAGTATGCAGTATTGATGTGATATCGTTCTAGCTTCCTACAAGTGCTTAAAATTAAGCGCATCCTTAAATACTTTGCTATATTGCTAATATAATAATTATAGTGCACCACCTTTCAGTTACTTCCCCCCTTCTATTTTCTGTGTAACAGATTCTTCTTGATTCATTTCCCTGGGCACAACAGTTTCAGTGTGCAGTCCAGTAGAGAAACTTTACAGGCAATCTTATTCATTCCATTTACCGAAATGTAATATCACGAACTCCAGGAAGACATTCATATGTTTAAAGCCTTTTAAAACTACTTTTTAATTTTTAAGTATGCTCCCAGTATATCCCAAATTTTGCATTTGCCAGTCTTATTCCGATACTGGGTGTCTCCTTGCATAATCGTTTTCCTCTAGCATTGTATATTCTAATCTATAATTTCTTTTGGCCTGTAAAGCCAAATCTGCTCTTAGCTGTGAAGGAAGTAATTTTGAAACAAAGTTGTTGCTTTTATCAAATACTTTCTTCAAGTTAGCTCATAGAAAGTTAAGGTATCTAAAAAAGTTAGTGCTGCTGTAGTTTCATCTCTTAACAGCAAGAAAATGATGTTCTTTGCTTAAAATTCGGTACAGAATTCTCAGAAGATTTTGAGGTGCTGAAAGAAAGGAGAGATTATATGCTTTTTATAAATGCCAGAAGAGATGGAAAGATATCGTGATATTTTGATTTTTGTCTACGTAGAAAATTAAAGTTAAGAATAAACTACTGCAGGTGTGGGATTGAATTTCCAAAAACTGCAAGGAGAAAGAGAGCTCATTTCCAGCAGGCGTTTCTCTTCCCTCCATTCACTACGCGACATCGTGGCATCAGCTTCTAAACAGAACTACTTCAGTTAAAGTTACAGTTCATGGTTAACCAAATCCCTTAAGATACTTCTGTATAAATCTCAGTGTAATCGGGGAAGTTAAGGAATTCATAATTTTCTGGAAAGAGACTCCATTTAAAAGAAAGGAATATAAATTCCTCTTGCTAAATATTTTCAATAATGTTTACGCTGTCTCACATTTTCTATTACTGGTGTTACACTGACTCTGAACATACTTTTAAAAAGTCACTTACAATGCATCTCTTGGCCGTACATTTCAACGGAACAGAAAAAGAACCGGTCTGTGCCATAAACATGACTTCCCCTTCCAGAGTTTCATTTATCTAGAAACAAATGAAAAAAAACAAACCACCAAGTAATTTGCAAAGATTTAGCCTATGTAGTCTGATGAAAACCATTTTCACTCATTCTTTGAGTGACCTACTAAAATGTATCTGTACAGATTCTACATTTCCGCTTTAAAACACTCTTCGGTAACTGCCTGGCTAATTTTAGCTAGGCAATATTATAAATCTTTTCATTTGGAGCAAGTTTCAAAACATACTCCAAGAATACTTAGTGACGGTTGGACTCGATGATCTTAAGGGTCTTTTCCAACCTTAATGATTCTATGATTCTATGACAGGCATTTTTCTAAAGCGTGCCCTTAGAATACGCCTTATTACAATTTAACAGAGCTCGAAATGCACACAGTTGTCCAAGTACAAGAGTACCTTTTCTAGAAATGCAGTTTGTTTCCTTGTTAACAGTTAAGAAATTAAATTAATGATGTTTTGAATCAGAGTAGTGATTATACTGGGATTCTCACCATCATGTCACTTAGCACTCAGGTGCACTTACCATTGGCTTAAATGTCACCACTATTTCACAGGACATCCCAGCAGATATTTTGCCAGGTGGGTCAAAACTGTGGAGATAATTAACATAAAACTCCAAATTAAAGCTGTGTATGAAACCCCCAGCTCCTATTCTGGTAACAAGGGCAGATTTTTTTATTTTTTTCCCCCACTTGATTAATTACTTAGAGAAGTCGGAATGAGTGACAGATGAATGAAAAGCATGGAACCCTGCTGCAACTGTAAAACTGCAAAGGCTAATTCTTTATTGAGGTTTGAGTCTGAAAGTGCTTTTTAAAGGCAAGAATCATTGCCTTCGTGCTACAGACAAGGAGGCTGTGGCCAGACAGGTGACGCTGAGGCTCATTGTCATCCCCAAGAACAGGGTGGACCAAGCGCCCATTCCAACAACTCGGAAGCAGTCTTCTCCCACATCCATTGAGGGCTGCTCTAACGTCTCCCCTGGCCAAAGGGGAAATGAAGGGGAGGGGGGGGAAAGAAGGTAGCTGCAAATGATTAGAGAATGTGCTGCCTGCTGCAAACTGTATCAAAATGATCTTGAATAGAAACTGCCACTTATTTCAATGCCTCATTTCATGGTCTCTGTGATGCAAGCAAAATGCCCATCAGAAGACAAGAAATCTCACAGCTGCACTCTAAATGAAATTATGAAGGCACTACTGGAGACCTGTTCTGCCTGACAGAAACAGAAGGGAAGCTAGACAAGATAGAGAACCAAATGTTGTTAGCCATGGGAGTACCCAAGTAAACTGGAACAGAGAACGTACATGCTAATCATAATTTTATCAAAACAAAATTAAAGCCAAACAAAAGCAGGACAAAACATTTTCAAACAGAAAACTGTTCGGAATTCAGGAGCTTAAAACGTGACTAGGGAAATAAGCATCTGCATACACTGGCAGTTTCTCCTGAGAAAGACTTTAAGGAATAGCTCCTTCTATTTCAAATGTTACCTTGATTAAATACTCATGATTTAGAGCACAGGCTGCCAAACACACACACGCACAGAGAACCACTACGCTAAGAACAGACTCCCATTGCATGGAGACGTAATAATGCTCACTTTAACCATGAGAATATAGCTTTTTATTAGCAAATCTAGTGTCTGTCGCTGAGAGCCGTTATCAAGCATTATGGCTACAACCTCCCGTGTAAGTGATTTAG